TTAAATTTATTTCAAAATTTGATATATTGTTGCCTAATGAGTGGAAAAAAGAGATATTGTGGACTGTGCGCACTTGCTTGCTCGGTAATCTTGCACTCACAGGTGCACGCGTGACCAAATAATTCCGAAATTGGCATCATCAGTGCAGCCGACAGCTATTTCAGTGCTGCTTACCTTTTAAGAAACTGAAGTATGGGCCTGCATTCCATACACTTAGCCGACAGGAAGTCCGATCTACAATTGCCTATCCTTGCACAAGGCCTCATTCAACAGGCCGTAACTACAAGTGAAACGAAATTATGCAACATGTTTTTTTTATTGATTATGAAAGCTGATGTGCAAAAGATTAAGTGGGTTTAACATGTTTTTTTTAATTGTCAGAATTTTTCATTGTATATTTTCTTGAATTTAGCTAGATTGTATTTTTTTTACTGAAAAATGTTATTAATATAAGCTTTCGCAGTTTTTTAAATAAGCATGCTAAGAATGTAATGCAGAATTTTCACTGCTTTGTCATCTATTTTGAGACTTTTAATAATAATATGGTCTCTACCCAGAAAATCAAGAAATAGCTGAAAGAGAGAGATAGCATGCATCTATTGAGGTACGTAGCTTTAATATATTTTGGGAAATTCATCACCAAAGTAAGAAAAAACAGCAGACCAGGTAAGGGTAGCACTCCACTTCTTCATTATTATTATTGATTTACTATGCTTCAAAACGTTGTTTTTTTCTGGCAAAAGTAATTGCACATCTCTTCTTCCACTCATCAGGCAGCATTATATAAAATTTTGAAATAAATTTCAGCGGCCAACCGGTCATTCTTTGTTTAATCTTGCGTGAAATTACCGTAATGAAATGCCTGCACAATGTGAATACAGTTGAACCCATTAATAAAAGGCATGCACTGGGCTGCAATTCTTGTCTTTTATATAAAATGTCTCTTATAAGCAGGCTACCACGTATGCATTTTACTATCAACTGTTATTTTACTTTAGGTACACTGGTGCCTGTTATACCCATTTGTCTTTTATATCAGTGTCTCTTATAAAGGGGTTCGACTGTATAGCTGATAATATTGGTGTGTTCTGTGCATGTACTGAACTATTTTTTTATTTTTAGTTAGCTATTGTGTCGGGGCAGTTAGGGTGGACAAAGGATGCTGAGGCTGTGTTAGGGTACCACCAGGTCGTTCTTTTGAAGGAACTACCAAAGGTTTCATTTGGTGTATCAGGTAACAAAAAGCATCGTGAGATGTGAATGGGGGCCATACTGTAGCAAGACTGCGTTGGTTGCAACTTTCATCAAACTATACACTTGCTTGCACAAAACGCTTTGATGCCTCCGAAATGTCATTCTCTTATGATTCCAATATCAGTGGCAGTGCTGTGTCCCTGGAACATTGTGAATTGATGCTGAAGCTCGTTCACTCTTTTTGTTTCTTGTATTAGTGCCATGCCTTCAACAAAATCATTCGGGACCCGACACTTCTTTGCTGTCTGTGTGGCACTTATTTTGAAAAATAAAATTTTTGGCTTATCCATAGTTATTGCTCAACACATTACATATTTCTTTTTGTAATGTACTTATAAAAGTGATTGCCAAAATGATTGCCTAATTACAATGTAGTTTCAGCTGTGTAAGTCCTAAAGTATCATTCACTTTAATCTTGTGCGAATAGCTATACAGAGACATTTAATGGCGAGATTTGTCTTATATTTGTTCTGCCAAAATCTTGTTCACAAGCGGCATTGCTTTGCCTAAAAAATTTGAAGTGCACAGATCAGCCCAGTTTCCTTTTCTTGTTCATTAGACAAAGTTGTTATACGAAAGGACTCCTTGTATTAATGGTTTAATGGTTTTGATCTCCTGATTCAGTACTGTTCACAGTTTGACTTTTTGTATTGCAGCATTCACATATGTGCAATGATGTGATAGTTGCACCAAAATATGCTAAGAGATGAGAGCTGCTACATTCGGCTCTATATTGGCAAAAATTTTATTATTTGCACTAAGTGTGCGCCAAGATGTTGCTTTTGCATTCTTTTGGTGAGAAACATGACTTCATGTGCTCGAAATCTATAGTTTATGATCAATTTCGAGTAGTCATCGCAGTAGACAGGAAAGTGCTATATACTTTAAAATGCCGAGCAAACGCCCCCACACAAGCAAGCAGCCCCTCCTTTTTTCGGGAAATCTGAAATACGTGCGAAATAAATTATCTTTCACCGTAGAGAGTGTGTGGGGGGGGGGCGCTTGCTCGTCAATTTGCAGTAGTTGAAGTAGTTGCTGGGTGCAAGCCTTCCAAACAATTTTAACTGTCCCTTGTTGCAAAACTTACCGTGTTAGTTTGTTAGTTTTTTATTACTGCTAGACCATGCGGCGAGATAGCATTATTGATTTCAGTAAAACAGTTTTTTAACTGTTGTGGATGCTGTCAAAGAAAATTGTATTCCTTATTAACTGCTCATTAACCATAAACCTTACGATTCTGTGTATAAAGCACGTCAGCAGACATTTCTCCACACAATGAAGGACGGACTGGTTGAGCACAAACGCAAGCGGACTTTTCCTGGAGAGTAAATGGAATGTATGAAAAATTTAGGCTGATTCTGCTTCCGGTATTGTAACAAAAGCATGAGGTAAATTTAGAGTCATTTAAAAATAACAAGTGAATTCCTTGGAAGTGTTAGGTGGCTTCAGCTGACTTGGAAATGTCTGCACAAAAGCAAACAGCAGTCAACTAACTTTCATTTTAGGAGCACTTCAAGTGAACATGCATGCATGCATGCATAAACGGATTTTTTTTTTTATGTGTGGTGCCGCAGCTCAGGCTTAGATACTAATGTATGCGACTCAAAATGAGTGGCAAGTAACTGCTCCAAACGGTTGTTATCCTGCTCCAAACTGAGATTTTAGTTGCTCCAGAAGCTGCGCTGAAGTGGCTTTGATCATTGATGTAGACAAAACATATCAGACTAGTGGGATCAGGCTAGCCAACAAATTGCCTTAAAAACAGATTTGAACCTGTTGGCATTACTTGGGCATTTCATAAAAACATCTATATGTGTCAATTACTGCGAACAGTGGTAAGTATGCACAAAACAATGTTCTTCTGAAGTCACCTGTAGATGTGTATGCCAACATTTTTTCAAAATGTTCACTCCAAGTTTGTTAGACTTTTTAAATGATTTTACATCATTTGAGAAAAGGAAGGGTTTATCTCCAGAGTTTTGTATATTGAGTTGCTGATGTGGCGTCTACGTTTGTGGATGCCAGGTGTACCGATTTCATAGAAATGGTTGATAGAATGTCACTTGGTAGTAAGACCCACTTCGTTGCCATGCTGCTCCTCACGATACATTACCAGTAATATAGCTAAGTACATCTTTTAGAAGTAGAAGTAATTTAAAATTTATTTGCTTCGTACAGGACAGGAATTAAGTGATATAAGGCTACATGCTGTAATTTTTTAGCTGATCTGCAGAAGCAAATGTTTTCATTTGGAGAACACCGAGAATCAATAAGCAAATGCTTCTTGAACATTGCTACTGCTGATGATTAAAGCTTTCAGTTTGAACCTTGGCATCAATGCATTGGTAATGATAACAGCAGTAAAGATGAGGACAAACACATTAAAGTAGGGCTGTGGGTTAGCAAGTGGGCCTTGAATGGTGATAATATTGATGACGATGGAGTGTTCTGCATACCATTGAAGAGAGATTTCAAATCTGCAAACATATTTCATATATCTTATTTGAAAAAAATTAGTGACAGTTTTCTGCATTATAATTAGATATTTTCTTATGGGTTATCATAACTCAATAAAATTTGTTTTTAAAGCTACATGTTTCCTCTAAAGGTTCATCCCACTGGCTAAAGTAATTTAGGTGTCAAAACAACTATTTCATTGATCAGAAATTATTTTTAAGCTTGGAAGGTAAAAATGAGCTCTTAGTAATTAGCTGGTATTTATTATATAATTACAATTCAATCAAAGTTGAGAGAAAAAGAGAAGCTCTAGCTTTTAGTTCAAGTGCTGTGGAACAGAATGATACCAAGTTTGTTACATATATTCACAGAAACTTGCTAAAAACGTCTGTAAGGCAGATTCACTTCACAAAAATAACAATGCCAAGAAAATTGTTTTAATTTTAAAACATTTATAATTTCATATATTAAGCTTTTAGCAAAAAAATGGTATTTTGGCATAATGTAAAATTTTTCCAAAACATACTTTCCACTATAAATGCCTCAAATTACAATTTTTTCAAGTCTGCATTTTTTATAATTTTGTGCTATTTTAAGACCGTTGTCCTCTCTTAAATAAAGTTTTGTAAAGAATTGTGGGCATCGCCATTGGCTTGCAGTTCGTAATCTAGGATTAGTGTACCTGCCCATTTAGTTTAGTGTCTAAGGTAAGGTATGTATGGAGATGTGGGTTTGATTTCTGGCTACGGTAGCTGTATTACGATGGAGGTGAAATGGAAGCAAAACCCATTCAGTTATATTTAGTTATATGTTAACCCAAGGGAGTGAACTCGGTCTGGACTCCCTCACTATAGTGTGCCTCAATCATATCATGGTTTTGGCGCATAAAACCCATAGGATCATAATATGTGGGTTCAATTTCCATCAATCTGCTTTTGTTCATCTGCTTTAATTTTTGTTTATGTAATAATTTCTACACTTCAACTACAAATTACTTCTTCTATGATTACCTTGGCTTTATATGGTTGTGGCTGACAAAGTTTGGACTCCCCAATCGGTTCCCTTTCTTGTACATAACAGCAATTTCGGTTTAATCAATTTCATATTAAAAGAGTTGGTGTGAAGTGGAAGTATCAAGTACTTCCACTTAACAGTGAAGTTGTAAAATATTTAACTGTAGGTAATTGTGTGGTTGATGCTAGATATCTTTCTAGCAGCGTGTTGCAACTTTGCCATATTTTTACCTTCAATTATGCTTTTCAGTGTGTTCATGTATTCTTTCTTTGCAGGTTCTGACACGAGCAGTATTCTAAATGATCACTTGTCAAAGAGAGGTTCGCTGGGCAAGAATATGCCGTCCTTCCTGTCTTTGTCAGAGAAGTATGTTATGCACAAACATTTAGCTTGTATAGTGGAGAAGAGTGGCCTGTGTCTTAGCGGTATCGCCACTGGCATGAGCACGAAGTTGCTGTGCTTTGCCAAATGCCTCTGACTTCTGTCTGTTTGTCTGCATCTGTATTGAAGACCTGGGCCAAGACATGTAGATGGATCATGCTGACACAAAGCTCTGGCGCAAGCTGTGGTGGGCAGTGCTGCAGTGCTATTGGAGGAGTTAGTAGAGTGAACGCTAGTGTTGTCAGGCGTGATGGGGGGGTGGGTAGACTGCAACTTTAAGTTCTGGGTAGACGAAATCCAACAGCCTCACACTTTCTTACAGCAGTAGACATGAACAAATGAACATAGAACAAAAGCATTTTACTAAACACAGCAACCACCAGTTCTCGCAGAAACGATGACATTCGAGGTCATTGAGGCACATGCCACTCTTTTTTCACAACACTTAAGGGATGTTAGCATTACATTAATGCTTAATTGTTATGTTTACTTGGTAGAAATGAAAGTACTACTACTCCGGTAAACAAACCACCAAGAGGAAAGCTGGACATCAAGATGATTCCACCTTCCCCTGGAGATTATGCCTTCATGGAAGACGAGCTGAAAATGTATGTGATTGTTGATTTACCTTATTCAGTAACACCTGAAATGGCCTATAATTTTTTATGCTTTTCTGGCACCTGCGGGATATTCTGCAGGGCTGGATATTTCAATTTGAAACAGTGTGTTGTGCTCATAAGTTAGCAAGAAAAAAAATGGAGCTCACTCTGACTGACTCAAGAATTATATATTGTGCTTAGAGCTCAGCCAGACATAGTCTCGAAATTTGGCTGTGTTTGCTCACAATCAGGCTCACTAATATTTTTCTCAACTGGACCCAGTAGGACTCTGACGTTCCGAAAGGTTACTCACCTGGACTGGACCATGGCCCCGCCGCGGTGGTCTAGTGGCTAAGGTACTCGGCTGCTGACCCGCAGGTCGCGGGTTCGAATCCCGGCTGCGGCGGCTGCATTTCCGATGGAGGCGAAAATGGTGTAGGCCCGTGTGCTCAGATTTGGGCGCACGTTAAAGAATCCCAGGTGGTCGAAATTTCCGGAGACCTCCACTACGGCGTCTCTCATAATCATATGGTGGTTTTGGGACGTTAAACCCCGCAAATCAATCAATGGAGGGAACACTGGCCAGCTGCGGCAACTAGTTTTGCGCAGGAGGTTTTGCACTTTCGACCCACTGCAAATCTCGACCATAACAGCTCTGCAGTAATATTAAATTAATGTCTTCCTTTGATTATAGCTTCTATTATTTATTTTCTAGCCAACAGTGAGAGAGTATGAAACATTGGCAAATGTACCTCATGTCTGGGTACTTGCAACAACATTTTTATTCTCAGACAATGGTACTAACAAGTCAATGCTACACAGAGACCTAAGGCAGGAATAGCTTTAGGTTCTTCATTTAAAGCAACGCTTTAAGATTTGTCGAAATTAAAACTACTAACAAATGATCAGTGCTACGCACAGGCAAAAGGCAGCAATAGCTTAAACTTCCTCATTTAAAGTAATGGTTCAAAATTTCAGGCTTTGACGTGGTCAGCCTGACTACTATGCCATGCATACTCCTGACGCACGACGTCAGAGCCCAGAACTGCCTCAGGGTGTTGCCCAGCAGATTAAAAACCAGCTGCTCACGCGCTCTACACAGACGTGGCCGAGGCTGTGCATGCTGATACCTAGGTACCTAAGGCACAAGTAAATTAAAAGTTCTTTACCATAGTGCAGCCCTGATTGTGATGCGGATATGTGGCACCTTATCAATGCAGGGGAGGGGTGAACTGTCATGTCAGTGTGACATATTATTGTGCTGCACCTGAAGACATTGCAGTTGACTTGAGTTGTGCAATAGTCCGAATGTTGCCCATAAGCTTGCATTTCTAGCTTATTCACTTTCATAAGGTAAGATGTAATGCAGTGTTCTGATCCATTTCTAACATCATTCTGGGCATGTGGTAAATCTGTCCTCGCGTTAACTTGGTAACGTTTATATGCTTTTGCTACCAGATTGCGAGACCGAGTGGCGCAGCAGCAGAAGGAGATTTCTGCCCTTACGCGGCGTCTTGAAGAGGAGTGTCCTGAAAGGGCGTCTTCAGCAGTTGGAGGTAGGTGCCCTTCACGTCGCCATCCTGGCACCCCAGCATCTCTCTGTGAAGGGGAAGACACGGATGCATCCTGGCGTTATCAGGACCAGGTAGTCCTGGTGCAAGCTAGTGACAGCGATGATATTCTGCTCCTGCTGAATGAAAGGGGCCTTCCTGAGAATGTCTACCTGCGAAGCACTTGGCAGAAGCAAGCACTAAATGCCCCCGAAAGCCCCAGCATACCAGCAGTGGCTTCAGTTGTAGCTGCGGAAGAGGCTGATGCAGATGCTGACTACTCCTCTTCATCTCCTTCCCTACTGCGATGGAAAGATTCTCGCAATTCAGCTTTGGAAAACAATGTACCACAGGAGCCATTAGTGCCCATTGGCCGTTTCCAGTGCTGGTCTTCAGATTCAGACATATGGTCAGAGCCAGACCGTAGCGTGTCTGAGCAGCGAATGGGTGGTGTCTGTCGCAAAGGGTGGAGCAAGCAGCCACGCAGGTCACCTAAGGAAGCAAGAAAAGCTTTGGTTGGTGGACGGCAGGAGCCAGGCTCAGACAATGGGCTCAAGAAAGCCAAGGACACTTTGCCTGACTTGTCCAGAGGGAAGCGGCTGAGCTGTCCAGCAGCAGATGGAGGTAGTTGGGGTGGGAATGCAATGCTTGCACAAGCCTGCACTGCTTTGAGAAAATGCAAGTAGTTCGTCTCCTGGGCTTGTATTTCCGAGCTTATTTTCCTTTGGTTTGCTTCCACATACTTGGTTGCCCTCTACTGATGAAGTGCTTTTCACATTTTCACATCCCTGTACAATGAAGTTGGAGGCACTGTTTCATTTGGTTGTTGCAAGCTGCTTACTTATATGTTTAGTTATCAATGCTTGGATAACTTTATCTCGTTTCTTTTTTATATAGAGTTGGCATGACTGGATTAAAACATTTCTCACTAATTATGGCCCAGCATCCCCGTTAGCAAAGCTTGTGTGTTGAATGGAATGTTCAAGGGTACCTGTCTTGTTACTGCTTAAATTGCCTGGACAGCTACCCTAGATGTGCATGTAATGGCTGTGTCATGCATTCAGGTAAAGATTGTTGTTATGTATTCTGTTGTTTGCCTTGCTACTTTTTTTACACAGCTTGCTTCCCTGCCCCATTGAACAACTACATACACAGACATGCATACACGCAGACACAAATGCTAAGCCAGTGTCATTTGTAGGCCCTTGGGCCAGCTTTTCAATGGTGACCTAAAAAAAAAAGAAAAGAAGAAAAAAATCTTCTGGGATTGTCAGCTATAGCTTTATTGTTTGAAATTTAATTCAAGAGATTGCGGTGGAATGTTACTTGCTCCTGGTTATTATGAGACAAAAGTGGAACATGTCACTTTGGCCATTTCAGGGCGTAGCAAGCGAGCCACACTGACCAGCTTTATAAAAACTCGAGAGCTGGAAAAGCTTCTGCGAAGAATACAGCAATGTGGATCCAGACTTGAAGATACCTTATCTGTACATAAGGAATCCTGCCAGAAACTGTTGGGATTCACGTCAGGAGAAAGCTCAAAGGTGACTTTTCCCCTTCTTCATTGTTTTCAATGTTGAAGAATGCAGTGTCTTGTCAATTCTGATGTGATACAGCCGAAATGCCTGTATTGATCAGCTTATATTAGTTGCTGCTTAATATGCTTTAATGAACAGAATTCTGTGTAATACAATGGCAAGGTGTTCGTCTGATTTTTTGCATAAATTTTGTATTTTCAAGACTTGGTTATAATCTCTGCTTACCACGGCCACTGAACATGTGTCGTAGGTGACTATTAGTGCCACCTCCAATCTATAGGTACCCATTTTTCTTATAGGCATGCTGCAACATCTAGGCTGGAAACATTAATTTTTTTAGTACATTTTGTATGCTTTGATTTTTAAGCCTTGGATGCACAGTTTTTTTTTGTCAGTTTTACATTACGCTATCTGTTTCTTTTTTTTTTTTTTTTCACGATTGGCTCGAGGAATGTCTTATGCTATTAATGCATTATGAGGCCTGACAGGATATGTAAAGGAATTTATTCTTATCTTCTCTTTTCCCAATGAAATGGCCTTGCAGATTACAAGCAATATTGTCTTGACTCATGAGATTGTGACATTGACGAACACAGCAATCGGACCTGTAATGGGGCGGTCACATAAAAATTGAAAGATTGGAGCATGTGTAGCAGTATGAAACACAATAATGAAGGTGTGCTGAAGAGATCTGGGAACCAACACAGAAAATTATCAGGCCTAGACCATGAAAGTATAAAGGTAGACTTAAAAATTAGTATGCTGAGGGCAAATATAATGCTCAGTATCCAGGCAGAAGAACAGTTATCAGCTAATAACCAATCTTTATAATCTATGCTGGAGTGTGTTAATATGTATCTAGCTCACTTACTAACAAGGAAACCTACTCATGAAAAGGAAGCTGATCGAAGATTAGAGTTGGACTTGAGTGCACACGGCGGGCATTCTAATATTCTAACTGGCAGTTTACCATTATCTCTTCAAGAAAATAGTGTGCAGTGATTGTGTATTGCCTGTTCTAACATACAGGGCTGAAAAAGGAAACGAAGAAATCTTAGGGACTATGCAGGTTTGCTATGGAACATTAGGCCGTAACATTAGGCCATTATTCTAGTTGACATTAAGTGAAAAGAGTAGGCTTGGGTGGGCCATGTATTATATAGGATAGACAACTGGGGGTCGCTTAACATGGTCTACGCATGACAAAATCATGCCATCCAGAGCGACTAGTTTTTCTAATTGTCTTTCTATGTATTTAAGCCAATCTTCTTTGATTTCTTCCGAATCATTAGATATTTGCTGGAGCTGCTTGGAAAGCTGGGATAAATCGGGATCAGAGTTTGTTTCAATATCGCCAGGTAGCAGTAGCAGTTTTACCTAAGATACAGATAGATTGTAAAACACTAGGCACAGCAGCTGACGCCACAGCAACACAATTAAGCAAATAATGTCCAAATGAAAATATTTGCCGTAGTGTGTACCCACCTGTAGCCAGTAGGTCAACGGATTAGACCACATGCTGACAGTGTCGTGCCGTATGGCTCCTGAAAGGTGTTCGGATTTTGTGTGTTCTCTGTCGGGCCCCAGTGCCATGTTTAGGTTTCGATGGGCTGTGCAGGTAGTTGTGGATGCCGTCCCTGGCTGGTTGTAGAATAAGCTCATTTCTAGCAGAGTAAACTCTGCATGCACTTGTTGCAGAAAATCCCGGTTGACTGGGCAGATGCTGCTTGCACCTGGCAGATTGGGCGCTTCATATCCTGCTGGTATCAGCAGCAGGATGCCAATCATCTGTAACCAGTAGATTAATAGATTAGACAACAGACTGACAGTGTTGCCATGCCCTATCAATCCCACATGTATGGCCTACGAGAACTGGTTGGGTGGAGCGATAAAATTACAGGGATGTTGACAACAATATTCAAGGCGGAGTTAACTGTGCTATACAGATGTGAGTACAGAGGTTGCCCTGATCTAGTGTGAAGCTCTGTATGTGTCAATAAGATATTTTGTTTTGGCAGTAAAGTCAATTTTTCACATAGTGCACCTACTGACATCAACACTTGTGTGATGTCAGGTTACAATATGGCAAGTTGTGGTGACATCAGGTAAAAAGGGCCACTTCTACATCAACAGAGTTGTGGAGTGTAGTGGCCATGTGATATCTTGTGCGAGCATGTAATGTGAAGTTCATATCATATCATAATGTCAGGGGACAGTAGGATCTGACACTAACCAATAAGAACATTGTTATCAGTATGTTTTGAAGGCTTTTGAGACCTAGGCCTCCTGTTATACACATACATGCACACTTACACTTTCTGCCCTTTAAAAGTATCGCCAACTAGCAAGAATGTGCTATTAGATCCTAGTGGTAGTTTGCCATTGTGATATGGTGGTTACGGTGCACAGCTGCTGTCTTGAAAATTACGGGCTTGATGCCGGCCTTGGCGGTAGCATTTCGATAAAGATGAAAAGTTAGAGGCTCATGTACTGTGCGATGTCAGTGTACGCTAAAAAAAACACCAGATAGACATGATTTTATGAGCCCTCTATTGTGCATGCCTCGTAATCGTGTGGTTTTCGCATCTAAAACTCCAGATATTATTATGATCGATCCTGCTGGAAATGAAAATACTATGACTTCAATGACATATTCAAGTGGTTTTTTTTTCCTGTGTGTGTGACCTGAGTCAGATTATATTTTTAAACTGTGAAACACAAGAAAACAGTAGGTTTCGCAGCCTAGCGGAACAGCCTTGAAGCTGCATGATGGAGCTGCTCATTTGCTGTATATAGTGTGATCTTATGTGTGCCAAAATTAGCGCTCAAGAATAGAATTATTGTATGATTATCCATCCATACACTAGTCTGCGCTGCTTATGAGCAAAAGGAGTTCACGCTGAAAAGCAGCTCTGGTGGCAAAAAATGAAACATGTCGTGCTCACCTTCACTCTGTTTGTAGCATGCTTTGTATATATAGAGTCGAATCTTGATAATTCGAACTCTAAGGGACCCAAAAATTTGTTTGAAATAATGAAAGCTAAATAAACGGAGGGCTCTCCATGAAGTGGCGCATGGGCATTGAGCTAACACACGAGGGGGAAGTTTCAGAAGACTTACATTTATTCACAAATTACAGGACATTCATTATTAATTGAAGTAATCGGTGATGCGCATCTGCACACGTTTGCCTTGCAGCGAGTCAATCAATGTCGTACGCAGCTTGCAAAGTATTTCTACTTCAGCTTCAGCATTCTCCTGGCAAGAGAAGTTGCGCGCGAAAATGTCCCGCGCCGACACTTTCTAAAGCCAACAACCACAACGACTGCGTAGCAGAGCCTCCGCTACACAGCCGCAGAGGTGTTCTGTGGCCGCAGCATGGCCAGCATGTGACTGTAAAGGAGGAGCGTCTACACGCGGAGAGAAGCAGATCGGCATCTGATGTTAAATTCCAATGGCGGAGTCGGTGCAGCCAACCGACTTCGCGAGCGAGCAGTCGACTCTGGCGTAGAGCAAATCCTCCAAATCTGCCATCAAAACACAACCCGCCCTGCTGGAGCAAGGCGGAAGCTACCGCGTTACCCAGGATACCTTGCGCGTGGTCTCTTCCCCTGTCTGTTTCCCACGTGGTTTACCAGCATCGCCGCATCGTTCGTTTGCTTGTTCAGCGCTATTCACCTGTGTGGAATGGATATCACGCCAAGCGTGCAACAGCTATTGTCCACGATGTCTGCGATGGTGACCACAGGGTATGCAGAGCAACATGGTAAGTGTCTCCTCAATTTCAACACTGTGCTGTAATTGTAAGTTGAATGCAACACACGTGTTGCGTGGAGCGATTGTCTGCACACGCTATGTTCATGTTGCAACGTTGCTCTACTGCTGATGCGATTGTGTCACTGAAACGCATCGCATGCGTCATACCGTTGTTCGTTTGCCTGTGTCCGTGGAGAACGAAAACCTTCGCCGCATTGATTGCACAAACACCGCTGTAAATATACAGCCAAAAGTAAACGTGCGCGCCACGCCGCTGTTCTTGAACGGAACGGCGTCATTAGTAAGAAGCTACTTCCTATCACTTTAGAATGTAGCCACACGAATAGAAACGAACCGCGTTGGTGACAAGCGTGTTTGGTATAAGTGCAATTTCACCGATCGTCCAAAACAATTTTTTTCTGCCCCCTACTCCGCTCCCGCGGCGAGTCTCCTGATTTCAGAATTCCCTAGGTTGGCAGGTACGCATTTGCGGCGAGATACCTCCAAAGTAACGCTTTTACCGTACAAGCACAACGCAGCGCGAGCGTTTCAGTACTGCACTACTATGTGGCAAGTTCCAGTGCACTCGCCTTTCAGTGGAAGCAGCGCAGAAGCAGTTGTCTGCCTTTATATGTCTCGAAGAAACTATAAGCCAGTGTTACGCACCCGAGAATTTGACTCCCAGGAAATTTTAGCTGCAGAGGTAGCAGCGTGAGTGCATGTTCTGCTATCTAATGGGTTGGCAATGTTACCAAGGTCAGGACATTGAGCACATCCAAATTAGCAATCGGTCTCAGTCCACAGAAATTACATTTCTTTTCCTGGAGTGTCACTGCCTGTTTCAGGCCTGAAAGATCATGCTTCATTTTGATTAACAGTCAGCTGATCAGAAACTCTGTGCATCATGATGAGAGTGTGTAATTCAATCAAGAATGTGCACAATGTGTTGTGCTACTGTTGAGGAACTTTAATGCCACCATGTATGCTTACGTGAAATTGTTATTCAAAGTTTTGTGTCGTAATGAGATAGCATAGCAAACATAGAGTTACTGTTTTGTGAAGCTGTGTTAGGAAGCCTCACATGGCTTAGCTTAATTGCATACATAGTTGCATGAAATTCACATGGTGCTTCAATGTACAGCAATTTGTGTCACAGAACACAAATCGTTGGTCGTTATGTCGCTTCATGTATGCCAGCTGTATGAATAACAATGCATTTCGTTTTTCCATTCACAGTGCCGGAACACAGC